ACTCAGTCAAAACCCTGAAAGGAGTCCTCAGTCCCTCACAGCAACACTGGCATTTGTGAGGACTGGGAGGCTGGCCAGGCAGATAGTAAGAGCTGCCTTGTTACATGCATGCTGGGCAGTTCTCACTTGGTGATGGTCTGTGGCTGATCTTAAGGAGCCTGCCTTGGATTTCCCAGCACACCTTGCTTTGAAGGTGTTGAAGCCTTCCTGGACCTCTAGGATCCAATCTGAACCCACAGCTAGATTTCTGGGTTATTTGAAACAGAGTCTCATGTAGCCTAGGCTGACCTCAAAGATGACCTTAAACTCCTGATCTTCCTGTTTCCACCTCCTGAGTGCTGGGATTACTGGTGTGCTCCACCTTGGTTTATTTGGAATTGGGCTTTGTACACATTAGGCAAGCTTTCCACCAGCTGAGCCACATCCTCAGCTCCTAGCTAGATTTTTGTGTCAAAGTTGCCTCTTCAATTTTCTTTTCAGTTTGGAGATCCGTTGTCAGGAATCTTCTGAAGCAGGGCTAGACGCAGCATTCAGGGACAGGTGTTCCTAGGAGCTGTGCTAACTAGTTCTCAAGTGATCACACCAACCTCAGGGCAGGGCTTTGGGATCAGCTGGGGTGGTGGGTTGTGCAGGGCCATTGCTCAGGATGTTGAGTGCCTAGAGGTAGAAAGAAAGGAAGGCCTTGTGTCCTTGGCCTCATGGAGTATGAAGGAGTTGAGGACAGGATGACCCACTTAAAAACCAGCTCCTTTCAAAGTGGCATGGTGTGACCAGGGGCTGCTTTAAGTGGGTCAGCCTGTATGCATCCCTGGGTCTTAAACTCTTCAAAACCCAGCTGTTAAACGTCAGTATCCTGTTTTCATTAGCTTGTAAGCCAAAGAGATGGGGACCTGCCTTGTTTTCTGAAGCAGCAAGTGTGCCTAGAGGCTAATAAACAGCAGGTGCCTCCAATAAATAGGCTCTTAATACTATAAATTCAAGTGCAGCTAGAGAAACAAAAGACAGATCTGAATTCTGTTGCAAGGTACACACACCATTTCTCAGCCATTTGGATCTGGGAACTGTGACGTGACCATGTATATGCTGTGTGTTTTACATGTATAAAGTGTGTGCAATATATGTAAGTATGTTTTTATAGCTAGTATCTATGTGTGTGGTGTATAGTAAGGGATGTGTGTGTGTGTGTGTGTGTGTGTGTGTAGAGAAGGCTCCACCATTAGACCAGACCAAGCAATCACAACAAAAACAGTTACATAATTTGCAAGGCCCAGAGCAAAATGAAAGAATGGAGGCAAATCTCAGGATGACTGTGTGGGAACATTGAATCAAGCTCAAGTTTGAGCAAAGCTCATGAAGCCCTCTTGGCTGGCCTGCTGGAGACAAGGCCACCTTTCAATCTTCCTTGCTGCCCTGAAAAGCTCCGAATCACCCATCACTCCCTCAAGCCACTAGAGGCAGCCTGGACAGAGCCACAAGGAGACCAATATAGCCCACGCTTGCCTCAGCCTTTCCTGGGCCTCTAATTCCCAGCTGGGCCTCTCCAAGAACATCACTTGCCATTGGCTCCTCATTCACAAAATGATATCCCAATATCCCAGCTGGCTGTGGTGGCACACACCTTTAATCTCAGCACTCTGGAGGCAGAAAACAGGTGGGTCACTGTGAGTTTGAGGTCAATCTTGTCGACATAGTAAGTTCCAGGGCAGCCAGGGCTACATAGTGAGCCCCTGTCTCAAAAAAAAGGGGGCAGGAGGGGGTCCTGGAGAGATGGCTCAGCAGTTCCCCGACTCCAGCCTGACATTTTCAACCTGTTTACATGACGGGACATGGCCTGCACCCATCAGGGCCACCAAGGCTCAGGCCCTTCTCCAAGTCCCCGCCATATTCCTCAAAAGTTACCTGGCATTAGAACCATTTAAGGAGGCTCAGGAGCTAGGTGTGGAGGCTAACAAGGGGACCACTGTGGGTTTGAGGCCAGCCTAGGTTAAGTAGCGCGTTTCAGGACAGCCTGGGTTTCTGTCCTGGGCTCCTGTCCATCTGCCAACTCTGCAAGAGAAAGAGAAATGGCCCAAGAGAACCAAGGCGCTGGGGCAGAATCTCCAGGAGGGAACAGAGGGTGGAGGTTCCCTGATCTCTTCCTGTTTATTGTTCTGTCTAGGATCAGTCAAGTTCAGTGTGCCTGCTCTGGATCACACTCAGGAGATACTCACGGATGATAATAAGGGTGTCCCGCCCTAGCCCCAATACCTATCTATACTGCTCAATAATTACACTTGGTATGCTGGGTTCTGGGAGGAGGCAGTGGCTCCCACCTGCCCCAGCTGGTTTAGCTCTTCAGCACACCATTAGTATCAGCCATCTCAAGGTTTCCAGTGAGTCTGGGTATATCTAACAAGGGCCAAGAGGCTTGGGAACGTACCTTCATCACGTGGCCATGCCTAGCCAGAAATGGGCCCTATATTCAGCCAGTGGTCTCGGGAATCATGTGACCCTGTGCAAAGGAACCAAGTGAATGGAGGAGGCCTAGTGGTCCTCTCCATGGAAGCCACCCAAGCACAGAGACTGGGGGTGTCGTGGGGGCCTATGGGCTTAACTCTTCTGTCAGGCTTGGGCCCAAGTGGCTGAATGAGTGTGGGGCTGGAGATAGCTGTGAACTTATGCAGGAATAAATTGGTTTTCAGGGAGGACAAAAAAACCTAATTGGCATTTGCCAATTTCTGTGGTGTAAATACTCCCACTGCATCCAGTTTCAAGCTACTAATTGGCTTTGCAACTAAGAAAATTCCTGAACCTTTAATAACCAACTCTTACTTCATTGTCCATGGCCTTCTGCCCAGGCCATTGACAGCACAAACCCTCAGGACAGCCTCCTGACAATCCCCTTCCCCTGTCATCATTTGCCTGACGCTTGTACCCCGTGTTGGACCTGGAAGTCTGACTTCCACATCTAGCAGTGTGGTTGAAGATTCTGTCTTGGACATCTTACAGTCTTCTACCTTTTATCTCCCCTCCCTCAGCCATACTCTAATCTCACTCATTCCCACTTCCAGGGGACCAGATGTGCAAGGTGATGAATCTCAGGAAGCCAAGAAGCCACAGGGTCAGGTCCCTGGCCCATGGGACCACACCTATCCCCAGGGCTCCAAGTCTATCCATAAGTATCTACTTGCGGAAGGGGCTTCCTGGTCTTGTGGGTGGCTGGGCCATGTCTCTGGACGTGCATGGTTCATTGTGCAATTATCTCAGCTCCTGACACCTTCCCAGTGATCCATTCCCCTACCCTGGACTCTGGGTATGCCTGTTCAGCCCCACCTCACTCAGGCAGCTGTGATGCGAGGTGTTGACTGAGTGCCTCTCTGTTGGCTCACTGTGTCAGCTGGAAGGTTCTGGGGACCACAGCAGGGACTGAGGGGCTTATAGAGTGGTTGGGGACCTGGGGCCATCCAGAGGCAGGGCAGAAGCCTCAGCCAGGTACTGGGTGATAAATGGTGTAAGGAGACAGATAGGGCCAGGCTCTCAGCCAGGCAAAACAGTCACAGATGTGCCATTGACCCATCCTACCCTCCTATCCTTAATCTGTCCCCTTTGGTGCCAGCTCACAGCCAGGCCTGGAGCCCAGCAGAGGCCACCCCCTGTGTTCCAGGGTAAGTTTTTAGGGCAGCAAGAGACAATTACAGAAGGTCTTGTGAACACACAGGAGAGTACAGAACCCATGCTCAATCCAAAGTGTGCCCACATGCTAGGGATAGGGTCGAAGGCTCTGTGGAAGAGATGACATTTGAACAGGGTCATAAAACTGGGCCCTAGTCACAGCCCCTCTCATGCACAAGCCAAAGCCAGGCCTTGTGCTCTTGAGCTCACAAATCAGCTCTGTGGGTACCAGGGGCACGCCCAGGACTGCCCATTACCCCAGCAGTGGAGGGGTAAGGATGGTCTCCTCTCACCAGAGCCTTCCAGGTCCTCTCCAGGGGCATCGCCCAAATGACATGTTTCCCCCAGTGAGAACAAATGGGGTAAGATCTCCCGTTGTTCTTCAAATGGGGGTGAATGAGGAAGGGTTGCAGGATCTGGGGAAGGGGCACGCAGAAGGACTTCTAGAAAGCAAGAGGGGCTTGGGAGGGAGGAGACAATACTTGAGGAGCTGGGCATAGGGCCCAACTAGAGTTGGAATCACTCCCTGAACTTCAAGATCTGCCCCCACCTGCTTCTGCTGAGGCCTAGCCCCACAGTGGACTGACTCTGAATTAGGGATGACCAGTGAAAGAAAATGACCACAGTAAACTGTGGTCACATAAAATTATTGTGTATGTCTGGGGGTGGGGGTCCTAACTCACTTAGAAATGATTTTGGGCTCAGCATGTGATGGTGCACACCTGGGATCCCAGCACTCAGGAGGCTAAGGCAGGAGGATACCTGTGAGCTCAAGGCCAGCCAAGGCTGGACAGGAAGACCCCATCTGAAAAAAAACCATAGGTAGATAAATAGATATAGATACAGAGATAGAGAGATAGATGATAGATAGGTATGATTGAAATATGATATAGATGATAGATAATACAGATAAGAGATAGGTAGATGATAGATGATAGAGATTCGATAGACAGATTTCTGAGCCTTCTTGACTCTGGAGCCTCCTCTGTCTCCCTCTCCAGGGAATCTTACAGAATCCCACACTTGTTTAGAATGTGAGACAACTCATGGGGTACACAGTGGGAGATCAATAAGTGTAAGTGACTTCCCTTTGACCATCCCAAACAGTGATGGGGTGAGGCGGAAGAAGTCCCCAATTCCGAAAGCTTCCTGCCTCTCCTTCTCTGGTTAATGACAAACACTGGAATGTCATCCCTCTGTGTGCTCACCTAGGCTATTCTGGGACACCGGCTGGGAAGGGTCCCAGCAGCCTTATCCAGTGCTGAGACTGCCTTTCTCACCACGTGGGCTGGCTTGTGTCAGTGTTATAGATGGATGCAGGGGTGAGGCACCCATCCTGCTAGTCAGGCAGGATGCTGGTAGGCGGAGGGACAAAGAGGGGTGGAGCTTGCAGAACAAAGGAGAATGAGGAGCCCTGGGGGCCCAGGCTGAGCATCAAAAAGGCTGTGTAGACTGAGCAGGCCACAGACAACCTGCCTCTGCACACAGCCACCAGCCGGGTACCTTGACTTGCTCACTTCTACTTGCCCCGGCTGGGCAGGAACACAACCCTGTAGAGAGAGACCTTGCTCTCCAGCGTGATTGCGTCCACACTGCTCTGTGGCTTTCTCTACTTGGTGTGGGTTGCTGCTGAGCTTCCAGAGGTGAGCAGAACAATGGCCACCAGTGGAGCCAGACGCCAGGAAGGCCGACGGGAGCATGCCTTCATCCCAGAGCCCTTCAGTGGGGCCAACATAGACCCCAATCTCTGGCTGCACCGCTTTGAAGTCATTGATGACCTCAACCACTGGGACCATGCCACCAAGCTTAGGTTCCTGAAAGAGTCTCTTAGGGGAAACGCTCTGGATGTCTACAATGGACTCAGCCTCCAGGCCCAGGGTGACTACAGGACTGTGAAGGAGGCCCTCCTGGGGGCCTTTGGGGGTTCCCGGGCTACCCACAGCCTGCACCCCAAAGAGATCCTGTTTGCCAACAGCATGGGTAAGGGCTACTACCTCAAGGGGAAGATCGGTGATGTGTCGGTGAGGTTCCTGGTGGACTCCGGGGCCCAGGTATCTGTGGTCCACCCGAGCTTGTGGGAGGAGGTCACAGATGGTGACCTGGATACCCTTCGGCCTTTTGAAAATATAGTCAAAGTGGCCAACGGGGCTGAGATGAAGATCCTGGGTGTGTGGGACACGGAGATGACCCTGGGCAAGCTGAAGCTGAGGGCACAGTTTCTGGTGGCCAATGCGAGCGCAGAAGAGGCCATCATTGGCACCGACGTGCTGCAGGACCACAACGCAGTGCTGGACTTCGAGCACCGCACCTGCATCCTGAAGGGAAAGAAATTCCGCCTGCTGCCTCTCGGGGGCTCCCTGGAGGATGAGTTTGACCTGGAGCTCATCGAGGAGGAACCCTCAGAGTAGGGAGAGCGTGAGCACCTCCCTCACTAAGAAGCCCTTCTTCTCACCCTCAGCATCGGTGGGGGGACTCCACATTAGGGGGCAGGTGTCCTGGGGGGTGGGTCATTGGGCCTGGCCAACCCCTACATCCAAGTCTCACTCTGAATTCCCTTCCTTCTGTGGGGGCTTTACCCTGCTCCTGGTGAGGGAGGCTTCATGGAAAGGGCTCCTGGGAGGGAGGGCAGCCTGGCAGCCTGGAGCAGGTCCTCAGGGTCTGCAAAGACCCCGAAGCTGTAAGCTTCCAAGAAAGTTAGAGAGGGGGCTAGGAACCTACTTCCATCCCCCAAGGTGTGGCTTGGTCACCCTCAGGTTCCTAAAGCCTGTTCACCTGAGCCGGGTCCTGGCTACAGGACCTCATGACCCAGACCCTCTGAGGAGGGTGACAACTGCTCTGGGATTCCTCCCCACAGTCCTCCCACCCTCACAAGGGTGCCTTCTCCTGTTCCTTGCTTTGAAACCCATTGAGCCCTATATCAACAATTCAATTACTTCAAAATATCAATAAATATCTGTTCATGGAAAAAAAGCAAAAACATGTCATGTGTTCAATAGTGGTGATGAGGACAGAGGGAGAGGGAAAACACAAGCATCTGGAGCCCTGGTCCAGGGAGGCAAAAGAAAACAGAAGGTAGCAAGGGGTCTTGAATTTTCTAAAGCAGCCTCAACTGCACTTATTTTTTTACTTATAACCTCTCTAATTCTGCCCATCATTTCTAACTCATTTCTGATTCTTCTACTTTAATCTACAATTTTAGCATATAATTGCCCCTCATGCTCAAAAGTAACCCCACAGGTATTTTGTGAAGTGGTTTTGTTTTGGGCTCAGGAAAAGTATCTGATGGGCAAATAGGTTCTTACCGGACTTCGATGAGGCAGAAAGAAAGTAAGGCAAGACAGTCATGAACTTGTGTGGGCAGCCCAGGGAAGGTTTGGGGCTCGGCCAACTTGGGGAGGCTATGGCCATGGGGAATAGCTTGTTCCTTGGAGGAACACAGAATGATGCCTGACCCTGGAGGCTGTGGTAGAGGTGAGGATGTTCTTAAGCCTGGGAATGGGGTTTGTCTCTTGTACGGGTTCACCTCGGTTTGGCTTCCAACTTCCTGCCCTATTCTGAGAATCTGAAAACCTGTCAGGCACGGGGGAAAAGAAGAATGGATGGCAATCTCCAGAGAGGAGCAGGTGTGTTCTGAATCTCAGGGCCCACACCCTCCAAGCTGAACCTAGGAAGGCTGGCACAAGGTCAGAAACTCAGATGGACAGGAGCCTGCCTCCTGTAGGGAACGGGATGTAGGTTGGAGGAGCCTCTTTTTCATTTGGGTACTGGGGATTGAACCTAGGGCCTTACACATGCTAGGCAAGTGTTCTACCATTGAGTTATAGAACTATATCCCTGGCCACCCCCCAGATTTTTTTTTTTTTCAACTTTTTATTTCAAGATGGAGTCTCACTGAGTTGCCCAGGCTGGCCTTGAACTCACTCTGTAGCCCCGGAAGTCACTGAACTTAATGATCCTCCTGCTTAGTTCCCTGAATAACTGAGACGACAGGCCTGGACCACTTACCTGCGTCCTCCTCTCCTGAGAGCTCTTTTCTCCAGGGGAAAGGGGCGGCTGCTAGATCCACCTGTGTAAGCAAGAGGCAGGAATCCTGAATGACCCTTCTTGCTGAGAAGCTCCAGACTTTTGAACTGATGGGAGCCAGGAGCGGCATCCACTTTGGCCTTTCCTCCTTGGTGCCCACGGGGACCTGACTCAACCCCCTAATCCCCAGGGTTCACTGAAACCTGGCTATGGGCAGCCAAGCCCAGAATTAATTGGAATTAGCCTGGAGCATGGGCAAGGGGTAGGTGTGGCTGGGAGGCCTGGATGTCAGGGTGGTCTCTCTGGAACCCAGCACTCCACCCCCTCACCTCTCAGAATCATCTCAAGAATGCTGCTGTTCATATGGGCCAAGCCCTCTCTCTAGGGAGCAACCCAAGTGGCACCTCCCTGTGACCTATTTTCCTCTAGGCCCTTCAGATCCAAGACACATGCTAGGCTAAAGGGCAGATGTAGAGTGGGAGAGGAGGTAACAAGGGGACCTGGGTATTGGGTGGCCAGGCCAGAATTCTGGGGCAATTCCAAAACATCCCTGCTCTTCTACCCAGAAAGGGGCTGAGTCCTGTCCTAGGTAAATTTGGTGTGGGTGTGCCCAAAGCATAACATCACTTCACCTTGGCTCTGAGTGAGGAGGGCCTGGGCCAGTAGCTCTCAGCCAGGTGCTTCTCCTAGAAGAATGGGGACACCCTGAGGAGGGGATGTCTGAAGAACAGCTGCCACTACATAAGGAACCATGTGGTGCTGGAGACCTGGGTGGCCTAAGACAGGTGTGGCGTGAGTGCAAAAATGGTTAAAATGTGATGGTGAAGGCTGGAGACGGGACTCAACTGGTAGAGAGTGTTCCCAGCTTGCCAGAGGTCCTGGATCCCATTCTCAGCACCAAGTAAATCAGATTCGGTGGTGCACACCTGTAATTTTGGAACTTGGGAAGTGCAGACAGGAGAGTCAGGAATTCAAGGTCATTTTTAGCTACGTAATGAGTTGGAAGCCAATCGGGGGTACATGAAACATTGCCTCAAAAAACCACAACAAAACCAAATCATGATGATGGGCAGGGCCACGGGTCTGCTCTCCAGGGATCAAGAACTGGGTGTCCAAGACAAAGGCAAGGACAGAAGCCAGTGGGTCTGGGTCATATCCCAGGGGGCCTGCCACCTAGTGTAGGACCCCGAGACCCTCTTCATTCAATCCCTCCTGACCCCCACTAATACATTTCATTTAGAGGTGGTGTCCTAGCCTGAGCTCACTCCTGGGCACAGGATAGAGTAGAGCAGTGAAGAAGGCAGTGTGGAGGCCCTGGTGAGGCTGAGACAGAGGTTGTGATTGGGAGGTGACAGGAGGGGTGTGGGGGTTAGTCAAATTTTTAATTTTGGTGGTACATTGAACTCCCTAGGGATGACATTCAGCTCCCCTGTCCTCTCAAAGTGCAGTCACTGTGGGAAGACCAAATTCCAAAGTTGTTTTGTCTTGCTGTGCACAGATAACCCACAGACCAGCAGACAGGTACTTGGGAGCTTGGCAAAACACTGACTCCCAGGCCCCACCCAGAGTCAGGCCAGAGCTGTACCAGGCAAGGTCCCTAGGGAGTGTCCTTCTATCAAAGTTTCAGCAGCCACCGGGACACCCTCCAGCCAAGATTCTCCTTTCTATGATCATAGCTCAGCCCACTTTGAACACCCACAAATCCAGAGCATGCTGAATCATGCCGAAAAATTTTTTATCCAGCAAATGTTTGTTTTATTTTACTTATTTATTGATCATTTTGAGACTGTGTCTCCCTGTATCCACAGCTGGCCTGGAACTCACTATGTAGATCAAGCTGGCCTTGACCTTACAGAGATCCACCCACCTTAGCCTCTGAGTGTTGGGATTAAAGGCATGCACTCCCTTGCTGGGCTAAACAAATGTTTATTTTATGATCAAACTTTTGAAATAATTTCAGACTTACAGAAATAGTACTAAAAATTTCTTCATTTCACATACTTCTCCAAATGTTAATATTTTACTAATTAGCTGTATCGTTCTCCCCCATTATCTATCTCTATGTAGACGAACCATCTGAGAATTTCCAATAGGAAATGCTGCTTCAAGGTTTATTTTAAAAAGACGTTCTCTAATGCTGGGCTTGGTGGCGCATACCTTTAGTTCCAGAACTCTGGGAGGCAGAGGCAAGTGGATGTCAGAGGCCAGCCTGGTTTATGTAGCGAGTGCCAGGACAGCTGGGGCTACAGGGAGACCCTGTCTCAAAAAGACCAAAAAAAAGGCTTCTGGGTCCCCTCAACCTATACCTGCTTTCAAACAAAACAAAACCTTGCAAGAAAAAAAAAAAAAGACCAAAAAAATTCAAACAAACAAATAAATAAAAGGACATTCTTATATAAGCCTAACAGTTATCAAAAACAGCAAATCAATTTTTTTGTGTGTAGGTGCATACGTGTTCATGGGTACACATGCATGTGTAGTCCCAGCTGACCTGAACACACTATGTAGACCAGGCTGGCCTTGAACTCATAGAGATCCTCCTGCCTCTGCCTCCCGAGTGCTGGGATTAAAGGCGTGCTCCACCTTACTTTTTGAGATAGTCTCTCTCTGAATCTGGACTTTGCTGATTTGGCTAGACTAGCTGGCCAGAATAAACCCAGGGATCCTCCTGTTTCCAAAGTGACCTTGAACTTCTGTTCCTTTGACCTCCACTCCCATTCCTACCCCCATGCTAGGATTACAGGCATGGTTTATGCAGTGCCTGGGGATCAAACTGAAGAGCCGAAGCCATACTGGCTTTGGTTTCTTTTCTCAGAAACCATAAATTTCCCCTGCCCTAGACTACAGACTATGGATAAGACAAGCCCATGCTTGCCCCCTTAACCCCAGGAGACCACCCTCATTCTCTAGGACTAACTGCTCTTTTTCGCTTCTGTAAACTGCTTGATCGCTTGACTGAAAGGACAAACTATGTTGACCCCCATTTTGACTAGTTGTTTCAGACAAGCCTGAACATGCCCAGGCATGTTGTAATCTCACCTATCACCCCCACCCCAGGAGGCTATAGATCAAGTAAGCTCAGGCATATAACAGCCTTATAAGGTAAGAACAGAGACTTCTGGCCCCACAGATAACAGTCAGCACATTCCACAGCACTGAGGATAGCACCCACCAATGAGAGACCTCCAAGGATACATCCCCAGTAGCCAATCAATTCAAAAGTGTGTTGGCGCACGGGCTCTTTGGACCAATCAAGATGTAACTCTGTTATTCTTTGTCTGGAACCTATAAAAAGCTTCCACCCTCTGCAATCGGGGCTCTCAGCACAGATCCATTGCATTGGTGAGGTCGGAGAGGCCGAGCTTAAGCCTGAATAAAGACTCTTTGTTCTCGCATGCCCTCTGGATTCCGTGGTTATTCTTGGGGGTCCGTTCTCTGGGCACAACAAAACCTAGGGCTTTTGCTCATGAGGCAAGTTCTCTACTAACTGAC